GTTTCTTCCTTAGCCATTAACACAAGGTCATCTGCATATTTCACAGTTTGAATAATTTGCCCTCCTACTTTGAAGTCTCCGAGCCCATCCAGAGCTTCCTTGGTAAGGCATTCGCTGTACAAGTTGAACAGAATTGGTGATAAACAGCATCCTTGTCGAACTCCTCTTCCAATCTGCACACTTCCTGTCTCCCCTCTGTCCAGTCGTACTCTAACTTTCTGATCCATGTACAATTTGCTAATCAATCTTCTTTCACGCCAATCGATACCTGTTTCTGTTAGGATCTGCATTAATTTGGTCCAGTTTACCCGGTCAAATGCCTTCTGCCAGTCTATGAAGCAAACACACAGTTCTTCATCTATCTCCAAAGTCCAATAATAATAACACAATTATTAATTCAGAGTTTCCTCTCAGTAAATCACCCCATGCTGTAATTAGCTGCAAATTTCTGCTATGAACTGACAAATATGGAACTGGTCTCAGTTACAGTTATTTCTGCATCTACCAATGTATGTACTCACAAAGTTTCATTTTCTTCAATAAATCATTGCTCGATTTATAATTAGTAAGGGACATGCGGTAGCATAGCGATTCCTGATGAGGTCACTGGATTTTTCAGTTGACTTAATCCTTCCAGCCGAACTATCGCCCTGGGATCAATTCGGCCTCTGACAGAAAGTAGTACCAGGAATCTTCCTGGGGGTAAAGGCCAGCCAGTGCATAAGGCTGACAACCTCACCACCATCTGTGAGCCGATTGTCAAAATGTGGGAACCTCGACATCTCACGAGCCTATGGGTCTCCACGGCCTGTTACAGGGATAGCTTTACTTTTTTACTTTTACTTTATTACTACTAATTCATGGCCTCCTCTGGGTGAATCACCTGTATTACACATCATATCACAGATTTAAATTGAGGAATCCTTTGTACCAATATCATCATATTACAGAAGTTATCCTGTATTTATTCCCACCCTAAACTCTCACAATTTTCTAATTATGATTAGTGTCTTTAACAATACAACTTTCTTCTTTTCAATTGCAATGTGTTGACAGACATACCTTCAGACCCTTGACATCTTTATCTGCCCCTGATAACCTGTAGATGCCAGCTTCATTAAGACCACGGCGCTCAACTTCATTGACACAATGAACTATGATCGATGGGATCATGGGGGCTGTATGTGGGGTATAATCAGCAATGGTTCCCATGGCACCCCCTCCTCGAGTAGGGGTGTTGCCCACTGGCACACATGGTAAAGGCACCTGTTCTTTGCATTCGGGGTGACACGATGTTCGACAATCCCGACATTTCATGGCCAATTTTCCAAATTTCATTCTGAAACACGTGCACAAACCCACACTTCAAAACCTGACAGAAAGAACATAAACTAAATTTCATTTGTTTCATTCTGGTCCGTCACACTAACAATTACAAAGGCAAAAACACCATCCAGTGTGACTATTTAAGTTTTACCACTTGAAAACTCAGTACCCTTACATGTTTCGATCCTTACGGATCATCTTCAGAGGGAACATCAATACTTATTTGGAAACCACTATCACAATAGGTGTTCTGAGTTCTAAATTACATACACACACAGTGCCTGGAATATACAATATACACAATATTCAGTTTTTCACAATCACAGCAGCCTTCCTGGTATTACAATTTTTAAAGATTTTAAAAACTTTAAAAGTTTTAATACCAGGAAGGCTACATAACTTGAGCTACTGAAAACACTGTTAAATACATTATGAACAAGAACAAATAAATAACTTGGTCACCACAGCCTCATCTGTGGTAACAGCAAGTACCACACAAAGGCAATGTTGACACGAAGGTATGAGTATGAGTAGCAGAATGAGGGGTGGGCCATAAAATCCGGCCCTTGCACCATGACCCTCAATGATCTATTGTACTTCCCCTTTGGATTAACCCTTTATTAATCCCCCACTTCGAATGAAATGTAAGGCTTTATTTATGGGGGCACCATAAGTCACTTGGTTCCTTGAAGAACCGACCCAGGTAGCGAAATGTTAAGTAAGCTATGGCCTCACAATCACATAAGATGTGTGGCTGTTTCATCTTCTTGTAGGCACCTTTCACAAGTTGGGTCCTCTGTCAAAACTGACATGAAGGCAAGGTGTCTGAAGGGTGCAACTGATAGCTCCCCTCCATTTAAAGCAGGAACGTGCTGTGTTTTACTTCTGTGTAGCAGTGTGGTCCCGACAGCAAGCACGGCTCAAAAGACCACAAATGAACTCACCCTTCATATTTGGCCAATGCAGGATATGGTTCATATTGCAGCCAGCTTCAGTGAACCAGAAGAAATGTGCGTGTTGATTCCATTCTTTTCCCGGTAGAACCAAGCTGACAGATCATGGATTCATATTTCATAGCCAGATACAGCATGTACCTTCATGTAATGATGTCGGCACTGGCAGTACTGGCCAGAACAATAAACTACGTGGACAGCGCGGTATGAGATCTGGAGATACCCCAATGACATGAACAGGGACACTGAGTCCCTCTAAAACACTCCTGATGCCCATAAATATATGACACAAAGAGACATAAGGAAAAAAACATTGTAACGCTGCAACAACAAGCAAGGTGGATTACAACTACTGAGCAACTGATTCCGCTCAGTTCTCACAGCAGTCTGCACTAGGACAGAACTGAGTCTGACCAGTCCTCCCTCAGTGGTATAAATACAATATGCAGACATGACACACATCACATTAACCCCTGATGGAGACCGAGTCAGTCTCTGAAATTGCTTAAAACTATTATTTGTGATTCTTTACCATCACTAGAGCTTTCAAAACCACTGTTTTCGAAATAATCCATTTTCATATTCTGGTGAGAAATCCTATCCTGCTAGCCCTACCAAAGGGGCCAAAAAGGTAAAGCTATCCCTGTTACAGGTTGTGGAGGGCCCATAGGGTTGTGAGACATCCAGGCTCCCACATTTTCTAGACAGTCGGCTGACAGATGGTGGTGAGACTGTCAGCCTTACATGCCAGCCATCCTTTATCCCCAGGAGGATTCCTGGTACACATTTCTGTCAGAGGCTGAGTTGACCCCAGGACCACAGCACAGCTAGAAGGATTCAGCCAACTGAAAAATCCAATGGCCTCAGCAGGAATCGAACCTGCGACCTTCGGCCTTGTAGTATCAAAATTCTGATGATGTACGAAGTCCAAAATAATAGTTTAAGCAATGTGCTACACTGCTGCCATAAGACTGAACTTCAGTCTCTGAAATGTGAAATAATAACTTCATACCGACACGGCTGATCAACTGAGAAGACTACTGCACACAGCTGTCACAAAAGCTTCTAATTATATGCGTACCACCACATTAAGGTGAGGTCAGGTGACAGAGCACAACCACGAACATCTTCCCCACACAAACATTCTGAACATCTCACACTTCTTTTCAGATATGGCTCTATCAAAAATTAAAATGAGAGAACTCCCAAGGATATGAATCAGAAGGTAACGCTAGGCTAATCTACAACATACCACACTTTTACGTACCTCTTACCACAGGGGCCACAATTTTCCGGGTAGATGATGGTCTTAGTGCAGAAATCATGCGTACGGACTTTGAGCTTGTTGCTCAAACCAAGAGAGTGGCCCCCACGAACATTAGAGCTCATATTTGTATTTCTGGATGTCAGTGGAGTCATCTGATTTGAGCCCCAACCATGTTCATCTGATTCAGAAGAATCTGTCAAAAAAATATGTCTCTGGCAATGTTGACTACAGAAATTTTGTCAAAATATTTAACCTCTTTTCCTCTATAGTTTCTTTCGGCCATAACCTGACAAGCTGTAACAGTCCCTAAGTGACTTAGCCCTCACAAACAAAATAAACACTGATACTTAATAAAACTTCACTGATACCCACTATTTCAATATTACAACTATACAGTGTGTCCAGGATCCATTAGGACTCATTTTTTTAAATTCTTCCCTGCAATGCCATCTGTTGGTGAGTTGTGGCATTAAGATTCTTGAAGTTTCAGCTGTGGCTGTCTATAATTTCAAAGCGCAAGCATCACTGCATCATGTGTTCTGACCTTAAATGTAACAGTACTGTTCTGACGCTCATCGGAAAATGTCGGTTGAAAAGAGAGCCAACATCAAATTTTGTTTGAAGTTAAGCAAAACAGTCGGAGAAGCATACAAAATGATGAAAAGTGCGTACGGTAGTGATTGTTTGAGTCGCTCGAACATTTTTTTGTGATGGCAGGGAGGACATTGAAGACGCTCCATGTGCATCAAACCAGAGAACAAGTCCCACTGTGAAAAAAGTGACACAAATCCTTGCATCAGACAACATCTGCAAGACTCATCAAGGAGCTTTTGGGAATACCAAAAGTATTGTGCATCAAATTTTGACCGAGGATTTGGGCAAACGGGAGGGTCTGTGCGCAGTTTGTACCACACGCAGTCAGGCGATGAAAAACATGCCAGAGTGGAACACTACAAAGACATGTTAGGGTCAGCCCAAAGTGATACAAAATTTACAAAATTGATTGTTACTGACAATGAGACATGGTGTTCTCAATATGAGCCTCTCACAGAGTGCAGCGTGGTTGAGCCCAAAGAAGCCGAAACCAAAGAAAGTGCACATGCAAAACAGTTGAGTAAAGACACTGCTAGCTGTTTTCTTTGATTCCAAAGGAATCATTCACAAGGAATTTCTGCCAGAAGGTAAAACTGTGAATTCTGATTATTATCTCAGAGTCCTCAATCGTTTGCGGGCGAGAATTCTTCGAATTTGACCTGAATATTGAGAGCAAGGCTCCTGGTTGCTCCTCCATGACAATGCCCCACCCCACAAATTGAAGATTGTGCACGATTCTTTGGTCAGAAAAGGGATCACAGTCCTTGATCATCCTCCGTATTCACCAGATTTGGCTCCAGCAGCTTTCTTGTTGTTCCCAAAAGTTAAGTTGGCGATGAAAGGAGACCGTCACGACACCATCCAGGACATCCAAAGGGAATCTACTGCAGTTTCAAATGCGATTCCACAAAAGGAGTACAGTGACTGTTTTCAAAAACTTTTCAATCAATTCCAGCTATGTATTGATTCAGAAATGGCAAGGAATCCTGAAGAATTTGAGGGCTCACAAAGGGCTGTCGTGCCAGTGATGATGATGATGATGATGATTGATTCAGAAGGAGACTATTTTGAATAAAGAGTGAAATTTTGAAAATAATTCATGCCTTGTATTTTTAATGAACACAGTCCCAACAGAACCTGGACACACTGTGTATACACTCCGTATTACCCAACATCACTTTATTATTTTCCCTTCTATTTCCTGCAAACCCACTTTAGCATTATCCTCCCATACATTCCTTGAAATCCCAAGCAGTTTCTTCCTTCAAGGCTTTTAAACCAAAATTTTGTATGCTTTCCTCAACCATCTTCATGCATGCTTCATGTCCCACCCATCTCATTCATCTCAATTTTATCACGCTAATAATATCTCACTGAAAGTGGAAATTCAGCACCCTTGACCTGTGCTTTTCCCCTGGGGTGAGAGCACAACTTTCAGCAAGCATCTTTGCAAAGCCAGTTCATAAAGTTGCATCGACTTACCTGTACATTGTCTGGGAGCAGATGGTACCAATGAGACATATGGGACGCCCACATTGCGCCAGTTTTTGACCTCTTCTTGCTTACTGCTGCCGATGTTGCGAGGTTCACTGCTCGGAACTGCCTCCAGCTTGGCCGACGCCTTGATGGGTCCACCTTCCTTTCCTACCGTCAGCGTTGTTGTTGCCACCACCGTTTCTGCATTCATTCCCATCCCATCAAACTGAGAGTACAAGAATCACAAGAAACAATGTTGAAGTTCAACTGTGTCAAAGGTTATCCCTAGGAGTGGAGTTGTTCTCTTATCTCAGCAGCCGTGATCGGTGAGTCTCATCTTGTGACGTCCTACCACATCACGTTCCCTTTCACCTGAATTATGACACGGTATCCTCATATGCAGCAGTAGCATAGTTGGTTGAGGTAATATGCTACAAGCTGGAAGGTCATGGGTATGATTCCTGATGAGGTCATTGGATTTTACAATTGACCTAATCCTATCAGACGCACTATGACCCTGGGGTTGACTCAGCCTCTAACAGAAATAGATACCAGGAATATTTCTCGGACTAAAGGGCAGCCACGGTGTAAGGCCAACAACCTCGCCATCATAAGTGAGCTTATTGTCTACAAAACGTGAAGCCTAGACATCTCACAACCCTAGGGCCTCCATGGCCTGTTACAGGGATAGCTTTACCTTTTTTACCTTTATTCTCCTGTGCTTCCCTTGGACCAATCCCTTCCTTTTAGCCCTATGGGAATAGGGTACTATTTCTTGTTTTCTGTCTGGCATCCCTCTTTCTTTTACAGATGTCTCGTATGTAAGTAAGTAAGTAAGTAAAAGTGTTGTCTGATTCAAGAGTGACTCTGATGTTGTGTATCATAGCTTTCAAAATTGAAGTTCTGGACTTGTATTGGTTGGACATCTCGGTGGCTGGAGGCCTTTGCCACATAGTCAATTCATGGTACTGATAAGGTTGAATTTCTTTCTTTTATTTCACATGGCAAAATAAGCTTCCTGTGCATAATTCTTGTACACATGAACAGAGTTGTGTTGTGTTGCACTGTCCTGTTGTTGGACACGGTGCATTCAATTGTATACATGCATCTGTCTGAGATCTGTGAAGCATGTTACATACGGTTGACCTGTGCATTCTGTGGCTATATTTATGCAGATATTCAGCTCTACTAAAGGCTTGGGACAGTTAACATTAGGCTGCTTTAACTGAAGCCTCACTCTTAGATCAAATTTGTGGCGAACAAGTTCTTCACATAGTAATTCCATTACCTGCTTTCATGACTGATTCTGTATGCCCATTTTGATTTGGTTCTGATGATACCACTCCGTACACACATAAATATCATAATTCAGTTTTGGTTTCGTCCTGCTATTATTTTCTGTATTTATATTTAGGCACCATCTTCAAGTATGTTTGTTATTTAATTATTATTTTGTTAGTTATTAAATAAATTGTTGCTTAAACCTTTACTTTTCTTTGGTCCATATGCCCACAGTTCAAGTTCCTTGTCAATATGCAAACTGCCGGTGTATGACTGATACCCGAGTTGTGTGTCTGTCTCGTTCTCTACCCTCGCACTTAAACGTCCTGCCCATGTTGGGGCATTTGTAAACAACCAACCAGAATGAGAGACAGTAAAGTGGTCCATCCCTTATGATGGTTCAATTAATGAAGCATCTCTTTCATAGGATGTGGAGTTCAAGACAAATTAGTTAGCATCATATACAGGTGCATAACAATGAACATCACAGGCAGCAACCTGTAAGTTTAATCTTCATGGTGCCTAGTTCATGGTAAGATTAAGACTTTGTGAGATCCTAAGGAAAGATAGGGCCCATATATTTGACTTGGTTCATCATAGTCCGTCACACAAGTAATAGTATAAAATATTATTATTATTATTATTATCCAGTGTGACTGATATATGGTTTTTCTTTTTTTTAATCTTTCATCTTGACATGTTGTGGTAGGAGCGACCATCTTCAGAAAGAATCTAGAACCTTGAAAGAGAAGCAGTATAAAAGACATCACCCAAATTGGTTCTAGATTTTAACAAATTTTTTAAACCGTACTAGTAAATGGACTAATTATAATAATTTTAAATATTCATGCACATCCTTGTAGTTGTTAAAAATTAATATTTTATGTTCATGACATTGTAATGGTAGTGTCTGTATGTATTGATAATAACCACTCACAATGTAATAGTAGTTTCCGTACGTATTGATATGTCCTTCTGAAGATGGTCGCCCAGACCAAAACATGTCAAAAGGATGAAAGATTAAAAAAAATATATCAATCACACTGGATGGTGTTAACAATCTTTTATACTACGGCCCACATAATTTTATTTTTAAAACTGCAGAATGATTAATACAGAGAAAAGATTTGTATTTCAGTGATAATGTGCTCAGGCTTCTTCACGACAGAAGACAATTTAACAAAAAGCATAATACAACATTGTTTCAAAAAGAATGAAATGTACAGTCACATACGGCAACAATCTTACAGTTCTACCAGTACCGAGAGCAAGAAGCAATACCAAACAGTCCTTCACTTCATCCCCCCTTTAGGAAAACATCATTACTTTTACACCACCCAGTATACTGCCATGTCTTCATGCAACTTACAATACACATTGATACCAAAATCAGAGATACCTGCTGTGAAACACTGATGCATACTGGGCATACCATTAACTTGTAATCTGTAATATATGTGAGCAGCCTGCATCATCCCCGTACACAAAGTGATGCTGTTGTCCTATGACGAGTAAGCTTTCTTAAATCCTGGATAAGCAAGAGTACAAACTTTATAATTGTGCAAGGTATTTTCAATCGCTCCCCCATGGGGTAGAGAAATACCTCGACAGCTGACTGTGTACTCCGTTGAAAACAAAGGGACATTTCAGAGGAACACACCGCCATCTTCAGGGTTGAGGAACAAACCAAGCAAGAAAATGGAAATCTGAAGAGGAAAGTGAAACACTGGTTGATTTTCAACAGACTAGTGTTTTTTTTTTGTTTCTTTGGGTGGGGTGAGACTTGAGTCCACTTGGTACTGCAGCCACTAGCTGACCTACTGTACCAGCCCCAGATGATAGATGATGGTGATTGTGGAGCAGTCGGCAGAATGAAAATTGGCAGGGGAAACCAAAGTACTTGGAGAAAATCTGACCCAGTGCACTTTGTCCACCACAAATCCGACATGACCTGATCTCAAAACCAGGCTGCCAGAGTGGGAAGTCGGTGACTAATCGCCTGAGCTATGGTACGGCCCTTTCACAGACTACATGGCATTATAATCCAGGAGATAAACTACCTCATAACCACTACTATGAGAACCCCTAATCCTACCTGAATGGTTTTCTCTACAGCAGAACGTCGCCTCTTGGCACTTGGTGGGTCATCACCTGCTGTTAGAGAGGGTCTATGTTTTTTCCAAACTTTTCCACATCGTGTCAGAGTGGAATCCAAATCATCTTCAGAACGTGAGTAGCTTAAGTCAGACAACAGTGAGCCTGAAACAGACATGCCTTCCTGAATGCATTAATTCCTACTACCAAACACAAGATGCACCCACATTATGGAAGGGATCTGTTCTTAAAATTTACCATGAAATTCTGTGATACGAACCATATTATTCTACCGACTCACTTAGATGTTATAAGTGGAGATGCATTCCTATGGAACTCTTTCAGTTCGCAATTGTAATAAAAATATACAGAAGAAAACTGAATCTGTACTGCATGCTAACAGAGATACGTGGTGTGTCATCCAGAAAGTAGAAACTGCTAGCACACATGTGCTGCTTGCTGACGGGGCCTGGGACATTTCTTTCCATCTTCCCCATAGTCCGAACACACCTCCAAGGGATTTCCACTTGTTCACACACACGTGAAGCAGTCTTTGGGTGGCACACACAAGAAGGAGAAGAAGAAGAAGAAGAAGAAGGGGGGAGGAGAAAGAGGAGGAGGAGAAGAGGATGAGGAAGAAGAAGAAGAAGAAGAAGAAAGAGGAGGTGGAGGTTAAAGACTGGTGGCAGACGTGTATGCTGCAGGCACACAGAAACTCATCACATGATATGACAAGTGCCTGAATCTTCATGGGGATTATGTAAAAAAATGATTTAAGTTATGTAGTAATGACATAATTTTTTTTATTTTATTCATTATTTTTTAATCACCAAACGGTCTTTACATTCTGGATAACTCTTGTATAAACCATAAATTTCTGGCTTGTGCTCTGCATCACAAATATGGGCTATGTACGGTAAAATATTTTTATCTAGAAGTGTTTGTGCTAAAGAAAAAAATGAGAGCCATCAGATTACTAAAGAATAATCACATTTAGCAGGAGAGCTGAGACATGCTCCTACAGCCAGATCCAAATAGAACTGCATTATGTCCAACATTAGCCAGTAGCAAATAACAATTAATCTCCAGTTGATTGCTATAAAGAATTTGTGCTCAGTGTTGGTTCTGCTGTTCCTGTGGCCTTACAGTGAAAGCCTTTAGGGCCAGCAATCACCAAGATTACACAGGGTTGGATATAGGCTGTAGGCCGAGTCTAGCATGTTCCCCCTCAATCCTGCCAAATTTCATTGGCCATATTTCATCATTGGCTCATCAATCGCACAATAAAATTTAATTCTTTGTCACATCTAATGCAGTCAAATTATAGTGAAATCCCTATTTAATGCATCTGGGGGAGAATGGTTTTCTTTCAGGGGGAGGGGGATGCGGAGGTTTTAACTAAATGAAGGTTATACATAATTACATCAACAAACCTTTCATCTTATATAATGCACTGGGTTTTGTAATTATGAAAAGAATTATTTATTTATAAGTTGATACAAAACTATTTCTATACAAAATGATATGATCAATACTATCAAAATTAATTATCAAAATATCTGACATGAAATAAATGCCATAAAAATTTCAGGTTAGAATTAAAGCAATTATGCCCTCTTCGATTTGTGTTCAATATGTGATGTCACTCACAATGATTATGGCTGCACTATAACAATTTGCAGCAAAGAAGAAAAATTAATATTGACTGTTATTTGAACCACAATTGCATTAAATCAGGGTATAAATTCTGGAAAGTCAAAAATTTCACATACTAGATGCAGGTTCCATATTAAATATGGGAAAATAGTGCTCAGTTTATAATGGACTTTGGCTGGGAAAACAAAACTATTCACCAAATACAGGATTTTACTAAACATGAGAAGAAATTTGAATGTCACTACAAACATTGCTTGATGAATTTAACAAATTAATATATGGTGCATTCTGGGTAGCATAGCTGGTTGCAACTCTATGCTACAGACTGGAAGGATGCAGGTTTGATTCCTGATGAGGTCACTGGATATTTCAATTGAGCTAATCCTTCCAGCCACACTATGGCCCTGGGGTCATTGACTCAGTCTCTACAGAAATGAGTACCAGGAATCTTCCTGGGAGTTAAGATGCAGCCAGTGTGTAAGGCTGACCTCACCACCATCTGTGAGCCAATTGTCTAGAAAATGTGGGAGTCTCAACACCTCACAACCCCGTGGACCTCCACAGCCTGTTACACGGATAGTTTTACCCATCTTCTTTATATACATATGGTGCATATAAGTCAGCTTCTTTGAAAGCATGAACAAACAGAGAAATATAGTGCAACAAACACGCTGAACACTTACCTGTTGAATCCATTGCCTCACTGATTGTGTGCAGCCTTGGAGCTGTGTCATGGCCTCCCGCAACTTCATCATATCCAGCAAAACTGTTGGTAGTCACGTTCAAAAATCCTAATTTCTCTTTTGTTTCATCATTTATCTTTCCACAACCCTCAACAAAAACAAGATCCCTCACAAGGTTTAACTTCTTTTCCTATAAAAAACATAAAACATCAACTGTTGTTTCATTACAGTCGTTATGCGTTCTTGGTACATGCATAAAAAACTGTCACGTGTAGGGGGGGTATGCATGACAAAAATAATGGGTTCCAGTTCAGATGATAGGATTTATTGACGCGTTGCTTACAATCTCTCTTAATTACAATTAATACAGCTCTATCGCTGATTTACGCAATTTACAGTTCACCGTTACACAGGCACTAAGATTCTGTCTTCACTAGTCATCATCTCCTGGCAACAAATCTCAACAATGAAAGTACCACTTCAACTCATTATGAAGTCTTCTTGCCATTTCTTGTTCAGTCGCCCTGGAACCTCGCAACTCAACTAAAAGTAAGCTGCAAGCACACTAACATTACATGCCATGGCACAGACGACACAGAAAACACAGTTCTACTGTTCTGTATCACAGACCACACAGAAAACACAAGTCACGTGACAGCTAAGCAATGCTGGAGTGTCGTGTCATTGCACTTACGCTGAATTGTGTTCACCAAGCCGTTGCTTAGAAGCGGGTTGAATAACCCTGTTATTCCATTGGTGTGTGCGTGAATTTATGTTGACCCTTGAATAACCAATCCTTTTTATCCCACATTTTCCTCAGGTATGATGCAATAACACGTTCAATTTGCTTGCAGACCACTGAAGTTATACTGATTAATCTGTAATTTGAGACCAGCGATTGGCCCCCCCCCCCCCCTTGTAAACAGGAACCAATATGGCTTTTTTTTCAGTCACTTGGGATAGTGGCATTATTACTTGTTATGTCCGACAATCGTGCAGGGTATGGAATCATGACTTCCCTGTCCAGTTTTAGAATTTCGCAAGAAGCACTGTCTGGTCTTAATGATTTGTTTTCACCTATCGCTGCTAAACTTTTCCCAATCATTTTAGTACTAATGCCAAAAGGGTTCACCTGAGTTAGCACACTGTATTTGCAGGATGCTACACTCACAGGTGAATACCGAAAAATGACAGAAATTAAGGCACTTAGCCTTTTCTATTGAATCAGTAATGAGCCATCCATTACCATCTTCAATTGCAAGAATATTTTCCTTTTGCCTTTACATCTTTTTACTTACTTGCAGAACTCAGCCCAGCACTTACCTCCATTTTTTAGTACAGACCTTAAAAGTGTATCCTGTGCATTTATTTGGCTAACAGCAACTGCTTTGGTAGTTGTTTCCATTTCTCTCAGTACTGCTGTCCTAATTTTATTCTATTATATGCTTTTCTGGCCTTTAACTTTAACTTCTACACTTCCTTATTGTCCCATTCAGGGTCCGAATTTTTCACAATATTTTATGTGCGATAAATCTTTCAATATTCTCAAGTATCGTGCTAAAACATTTGCATTATGGTACACCAGAACTAGTCTTTCTACTTGAGATCGACAGTAATTTTCTTCCTATTCTACTTCTAATAATGCCCCACAATGGTTACTGATCCCCTGTACTATGCTGCAAGAGGAGAACGAACTTTCCGGTTGGACTAAACATGCATCCAGCAACGTGTCACCTCCGGTGGGACCATCCACTACCTGCGTGTACCCATTCTCCCATACCAGTCTATTTACAAATGCCTGACTTCTGCTAGTGCATTCCCCGTTACTGTTCCAATCTGAACAGGGCAAGTTTAAATTTCCTCCAATGATGCTACACTTTGTAGAATTTCCTAAATAAGCTTGAACCGCCAAAATTTCTATAACTCTGGGACTTTGTAGAAGCCTACAATTTCCCACATAAATTTAGGGTACCTGCCTTTCACTTCAACTGGTATCATCTTGAAATTCTCACCCACCCATAGTTCCACGCAAGCAATGTAATTTTTTACACAAATGAACACTCCACCACTTCGAGTATTCATACCTCTGATAGTTGCATAATCGTCCCTAAATACTTCAGCACTGCTGATTTCCTCTCTAAGCCATGACTCCGTACCTATCATAACATCAGGATTATATGTGCCAACTAAATTCCAAGAATCCAAAGACTTATTAAGGATACCCCTGCAATTTACCTGCAGCAAAACCAACGAATTACCCTATATCCTCTGTACCCCTCTCGTGGCTACCCACTGACCACTTGTCACCCCTTCTGTCTTTCTCCTTGTCTGATTCTTCCTCACTTCTTCCCTCCTTGCTGTCTGCCAGACTAACAATGTGACAACTGCACAAACTTTTGAGGTAAGAGCCACTGAAATGTGGTGACATCAGTAATGAAGAGAAATAGGAATTTGGTAATCACAGCAATCATAACCATAGAAGGTGGATAAATTTGACGGAGAGTCTATAAGCTTCTCAAGGACTCTGCTCTAGATTCAAACATTACAGATACCCAGATCACAGAACACAGAATATGAGCAATAATAATAAAAATAAATACACTACATGAAGAGGTACATACACATAGCTTAGCTGGCGTAGCAACGCTATGGGCTGGACGACCAGAGTTTGATTCCTGGCAGGGGCAAGATTCTCTCTACTCCCCAGTATCCAGACTGGCTCCAGGGCCCACCCTGTCTCCCATCAAATTGATACCAGTGTCTGTTTCCCCGGGGGTAAAAGTACAGGCACATGTAGCTGACCACTCACTTCTATCTAGCACCGAGGTCAAGAATGGTGGAGCTATAATGCCTCTCCCCCGTGCGTCTTCATGGTGTAGTGCTTAATTAATTCAGCAAAGGGACGACTTTACCTGTTTACCTTTGCCTATCTTAACAGGGTGAGTCGTCCACAGGATTTTAGCCCTCATAAAGGTAACCTTAGTTTTCTCACCATAGCAGCACTGCTGCCCTCAGCTAGAAGGCGCTTCTTCTTCTCCTTATCCAGCATCAGGCGAGCATGCTTTAATTTTGCTTCTAAGACAGTGTTGTTTTGATTTGCCTTCTCCAGTTCCGCTTGCAGTCTCTGTGCTTCCAGCACAGCAGCCAACCACTTCTGCCGACATCCTTCTTGATTCAGGGCAAAGCGGATGAATTCTTCAGAGGGAAAAAAAGAAAAGACTTCCTTAAGTAATGCTACAGAATCTAGTGACTTCTCAGTACCCACAGTTCCTTCACTAAGTGCAGGCTAGCCCTGTCTCTGCCATTCTAATGTTATCAAATTCAGACACATTTCTGTAAGCAACCACAAACTGTACATTTATGAAATTTGACACACATGTACCTCAGGATTCTCTGTATCAGATGACATTTCACATGTAAGAAAATTCTGATAATTTTTTCTAATTGTCTGTTTAAAAAATACAAAATATTAGCCATTAAAAATGACGTTTAAAAACATTAAAAATATCTTTACAAGTAATCAACTAAAAAAAGTGGGCAGATATACACAACCCTTAACTACATGTGAATCAAATGGCACAGCTTGAGGTAGCTAAGAAAAATGCATATACATATATGACAAAATTAAGAAAGACCTGAGGTTCTCACAGTGGTGGTTATGAACAGCTCTACCTTCTGGGATATAGCAATATGCTGCCCACTGAAACAGAGCATATCAGTGTGAAAGCAAGAGAGATAGAGACCAGTAGGAAGACCAAGACACAGGTGAGTGGACAATATTAAAATTGATCTTAGATAGAGAGGATAAGATGGTATGGATTGGATTGATCTGGTTCAGGATAGGGACCAGTGGAGGGCTCTTGGGAACATGGTAATGAACCTTCAAGTTGCATAAATGCTGGGAAGTTCTTAAATAGCTGCACAATTGGCAGCTTCTCAAAAAGGGCTCAGCTCCATGAGTGAGTGAGTCCACTGAAAGTCAACTGACATTTCAGAGGAATGTGTTCCTCTGAAGCCTTGGTATGACATCCCACAAGATAAGAAATCCTGACAAAATCAACATTTCTAAGATAGGTCTTCTGACCTCCGCTTTAGATAATTTAAAATACATGCTTCCAGAATTAGTGTTTTCCTGAAGCTTTCAATTCAGACGGAAAACTTCTTGACCTCCACTCCCCTTGGCAAGGGTAGGTTTCACTCCCAATGACAGGTGAAAATCATACCCAACCAACAGAATCTTCAGCTTAACATGACTAGCAAAACACAGTAAGGAGATGGCACTCCATATGTTCATAACTTTATATTATCACAACTGAAGGATAATAAATACACACAGAAAAACCCATAATAAAACTTCATCCCAAGAGACAGTAGATTATCTCTGTTTCACAAAGTGTCCTACTCAACAAATCACACAATAGGTTTCACATAGAGCCATAATGATTAAACCATATGAAATTCAGCACTCTTGAGAGATTATAGTGCGTAGTGAGGATGAATGCATCTTTCAACCTTGTTAACTGAATTCCAGATTTTGTTAACAGAAAATCAACTTTTGAACAAGAATACAAGTAACTGGAGATTAACTCTCAAGTGATGTTATAAACACTGATCCAGTAAATATGGGAAAAGTTTAATATGATGGAATTCAGTTATTAATAACCTTTCTAGTACAAAAAGAAGTTTAAATCATAATATAAAACCAAGTAAGCCAGGATTAAAAGAGTATCTCCTATTTCACTCATTTTACTCCACAGAAGAAATTATCTCAATTAAAAATGGTCAATTATAAATGTATGCAAGTAAAAATGGTGATGCTTTTTGGTATGATTATTTTGATATAATACTGTATGATCATAGATGCCTGCATATATATTTACATTGGAAGCAAGTATTATATTTATACTATGGCTTGTTCTACAGCCTTGGCCTAAGCTTACAAAGGATCTATGGAAAACAAATGTTACTGAATTTTATGCAAATTTAAGTACACATTCACAGTTATGAATGGTGAATATTATATTTTTTCAAAAGACCTATCCTTCCAGACCCACTATGACCCTGGGGTCAAATCAACCTCTAACAGAAAGGAGTACCAGGAATCTTCTTGGGGGTAAAGGACAGCTGCTGCATAAGACTAACAACCTCACTGCCATCTTTGAGCCAATTATCTAGAAAATGTGGGAGCCTCATCATCTCACAACCTTACAGGCCTCAATGGCCTGTTACAAGGATAGCTTTACCTTATCTTACTTTCCTATTGTACACAAAAGTTCATGTGATAATAGGATTGTCAACGCTTTAAAGCTGCACTTCTGGAATGTGTGTGTGGGGGAAAGGAAATCTGCCATCAAATCTTCATAAAACATTGAAAATTTATGGCACATATTTTAAACATATGTATATGTATCACTCCAAAGTATCCACTCACCAGGCTCACAGCTACTCTGTGCCAATACTGTTGAACATCTTATCAAGTCGTCATATGATGCCAATAATGAAAGTGACATCTTCACTGTTCTAATTTCACTGAAATGTTCCGTACACTATTTCCGGGATTTGTCAATAAACCTGAAAATGAGAACAAATCTTTTAGCAGAAATTGGATACAGAGCTGACGCATATACACTTACATCTAACAAAATTTACACCGAGAAATTAAAAAGCTTCATACTTTAACACTAGCCGACAATCGATACAAACATAACACGAAACGGAAAAACACGACACACCACTACAAAGTGTGTCTCCATTTTGGTTATGTAAACGTCATTATTCGAATTTCATGCATTACTGAGGAAATATGTGGTCATTTGCATAGCATACCTCAAAATCCTCTATTAGATGACCATCAGCATAACTCCAAACTTCACTTCACACGATTACACCGCAGTCGTTGAAAATTAATTGTATGATGACTCCCTCCGAAGCCAACTTTAAAATTAACCAATAGAGACCTGACGCTCCCCACTTCACCTCCAGTAACAGGTTAGACAATATTACTTTCAAAATACCGAAAGTGCGTCCATCAAGACATGGTTAATTAAAACAAGTATTGCTTAAAATGTGTAAAACTAACTTCATGCCGTTTTGAATTCAAAATCGCATGTAAGATTCTTAATACAGCTCAAGTAAGAGCACCTCTGATGCGGGAATTTCTGAGTCAACATAAACCAAACTTCAGATCTTACATTCCCATGATGAGGTTGCAAACGTGAAATTCTTTCTTTCTCTCTCTCTCTCTCTTTTTCACTAACCGAAGGAAAATTAAACTATTAAACCGAAATAAACACTCTTCGCTCGCTTGGAAACCGGGATCGTGGGTTCGAATCCCACTCAGGACATGGATGTTTAGTTTGTGTGTGTGCGTTTTTCTGTGTTTGTGTACAGGTAGAGGCCTTGCGACTAGTTGATCACCCGCCCAAGGAGTCCTACCGAATGTGTAAGATCTAGAAAAACCGAAGTGAACGGAGCAGTTCATGGAGGAAGACCTAGGCCCACTGGGGCTGTAGTGCCAAGGAAAAAAAAAAACACTTTAATTGCATTCATATTCAGTCACTCACTCATGGAGCCGAGCCCTTCATGGGAAGCCGCCAATTGTGCACCTACACAAGAACTTCCCAACATTCTATGGAACCCCAAGGTTCATTACCATATTCACAAGAGCCATCTAATGGTCCATACCCTGAGCCAGATCGATCCAGTCCATTCAGTACATGCAATCTAACACCACCTCCCTAAGATCCATTTTCATATTGTTCACCCACCTACATCTTGGTCTTCCTACTGGTCTCTTTCCTTCTGGCTTGCCTACCAATATCCTATATGCATTCATCTTCTACCCCCATTCGTGCTACATGTCCTGCCCATCTCATTCTCCATGACTTGATTATTCTAATTATACTTGGCGAACAGTACAAGTTATGAAGTTCCTCATCATGCAGTTTTCTCCAATCTCTCATCACTTCATCTCTCTTCAAATATTCTCCTCAACACCCTGTTCTCAAACACCCTCAGTCTGTTCCTCCCTTAATGTCAGAGACCAAGGTTCACACCCATACAGAACTACAGGCATAAGTCATTTTTGATCTAATTAGTGCTCTGTACACGATTAATTTAATGTGTGTACTCAAATGCTTGCTTTTGAATATAGAGTATATCCTAATGTATGTACCCAAAACCTTGGCTATGGTTTTCTCTGTGTGTAGTCTCCATGTCATCCTCCTATCGAAGGTGGCACTATTTGCCAATTGGATATTCCTTCCGTTTAGTTGTAGGGCGTTCTACGCCTTCTGGAGAAGTAGATGTCCTGAGGGTCCTGTGTCTTCCCTTCATCGATCTTCATGTTCCAGTGCTGACACCATGACCCCACGACAGTGAGACCACGCTGGAGTTTGTTGACAACGCGAAGTTCATGTTCGTCTGTTGTACATAGACAAGCATCGTCCGCGAACAGAGGAAGGTGTGTTCCAGGCGTTCCAGTTGCCGCGGGGGTGTCATTTATATACAGAGTGTTTCACGACTTTAGGGCATAACTGCAGGAGGTGATTTCGTAGGTCTTTGTGATCAGAAAAGTTCATATAAACATGTGTCCGATTTTGGACGGTTACGAAGTTATGACCGTTTTTCATTCCCGTACACGCCCTCGTGTGAACCGCGTCTGTCAGCTGGCGGGTCACTGTTTTTATCCAGCTACAGACAGAGCGTTCTCGTTATCTCGACACTTGAGAGCTACCTAAGGCGTGGTGGGTTGGTATGTCCGGCGCGGTTCACAACCGAGCGGCAGCCTGTGTTGCGGCCGGCGATGGCATTTTCGAAAATCAGCTTTAAGCACCAATAAATTAAAAATAAAGGTAATTTCACGAAGTTAACTTTACATTCATACTTTAAATGTATCACGTATTATGCTGGTTTATTATTTTGTTCCGTTTATTGTCAGTAATCGTTACCTTCTGTTCTGAGTTTAAAACGGTCATAACTCCGTAACCGTCCAAAATCGGACACATGTTTATATGTACTTTTTTGATCACAAAGACCTACGAAATCACCTCCTGCAGTTATGCCCTAAAGTCGTGAAACACTCTGTATAAACTGTACAGCACAGGGGCAAGGAAGGAACCTTGTGGAACCCCTGGCGCTACTTTCCTGGGCGGAGAATGTTCGCTTTCTATTGAAACTTTAAATTTTATGTTGGTTAGAAACGAAGCTATCCGCTTAACGAGACTGTAACCCTGATTACAGCATTCTCCCCCCCCCACCTCATACCACCCGCCTCTCCAAAACATACCCACATATACAGATACCCCCCAAACAAGTAGTCCAGACCGAACCGCCTATATTGTAGTTAAAGAATTGAAAAAATATGTATAATAAAAGATTTTAAAAATTACAAGCCAGATGTCAGAGTATTTATAATATTGGGATGTGATGCCAATATAAGTCTGACATTTCAGAGGTACATGCTGCCTCCATCTTCAGGGTCAAAAACTGACCATGCATGAAATCAGTAAGAAAAAGGCAGCTAACAGACAGTTGTATGGTGTAAATCAGCAGTATCAGTGTAAAACCCTCATACCCAACATATTTATAATCCTGTATTCATTGTAAATGCCATTGGTTTACAGGTGTGTAATAATTACACTGTTTTATGCAGTAGCAATATAACCCAAACAAGGAAAGCCCTCACTGGTCCCGTTAGAGTTCATCCGGATCTGCTGTTCACAGTTGAGTACATGCTTAAAATTATACGGCATTTAGAAAGCAGATGAGTCACTTGTCGGTTCAGACAAATCTCATTCGTTTCTTCAAACCTGCGCCATTACATTAAAAAAAACAAGTACAACTTCTGAGCCTTCTCTCAGTGAATTACAGTATCGTCTTTTTATAGAGCTTACATAAATGTTCTGCAGTGCTATTTAAACAAATATGTTGTAGCTAGAACTCCCGGATTTTATCTGTTTTAAATTCATTTTCAAATTTAACTAAAATTCTTCTTGTAAGATTTGAGGCTTTCACGGCGGTGACTATGAAGAAAGCAGTCTTCTGGGATTTGGCACCGTGTATATGTGGTGTTAACCGACGTTTCGGAGGAACGTATCGCCTCCATCTTCAGGGTAGAAGAAAAAAAAAAAGAAATCTGCAAGCAAAAAGACCGTGAGAACTGGTTCTCATGGTCTCTTTGCTTGCAGATTTCTTATATTTTTTCTTCTACCCTGAAGATGGAGGCGATACGTTCCTCCGAAACGTCGGTTAACACCACATATACACGGTGCCAAATCCCAGAAGACTGCTTTCTTCTTAAAATTCTTCTTGATTGCCCCAGTATATTTAACATCCACAGGATGAATTTTGTGTGTTTATGATTGTTATCAAGACGTAGCCATCTTTATTCTCTTTGTAACAAACGGAGTTATAGAGAAAAACTGAAAGGACACATTAACAGTATTAATTCACTTAAAATAATGAGGCTCACATAAAAATAAGTTAATCTTATTAAGAATACTGCAATAAATAAGATTAAAATGAGAAAAAGTGAAAGTTATAATATCTGGCATTTAAGATTCCCACAGCAGCGAATATAGTCAATGTTGCCTTCTGAGGTGCTATGTGATCAGATAGAAGCATACTGACGTTTCGGAGTACTCCTATCTCTAAACTAATAATATGCCAACAGAGTAACCAGATTGGAGACAAGCAGAATTCTGCTTTGCTGGATTTGAGGTTCCCACAGCTGCCACTGTGAACAGTTCTTTCGACTGAGAGGCAACACCGCGTGGATCAGTAGTTCTGCATGAAGCCTACGTCTTGTGGGTTACTTGCTTCAAGAACTTTCCGATCTTGGAGGTGGAGACGTATTCCTCACAACAGTTTATGAATTGCTTCTCCATTACGTAACATTTGCGCTCCTGAAGATAATTTTCAAATATCTGCTTGTCGAGTGCTTCCTTCCAGAAGTACCTGTGGATTTCTCTCATGTCACAAGATGTCGCTTTCCCGAGAACTGGCAACAACACGAGGAAATGAGTTCTGCAAGTACTGAAGGAGTAGATTCTAAAGGTGCGTCCACATTACTCGTACTCGTGCTCGTGCTCGTGCTCGTCTGTCTTTTACTAGTGCTCGTAAATCTTCGTCCACACTACTTCAGTTGCTCGCCAGGCTTCGGCGCGTGAGGATCCCTATATTTACGCGTAGTGTGTATAGGCTGTAGTCGTATTTTAATGTATTGGCTATAGTTTTTAAATTAAAAATTTGCTTGTCTCGTGACTTGTCATATCGTCCACATTACTCGCGAGCATAGCGAGTCACACGAGGACGAGTAATGTGGACACGCCTTAAAGGGTTCTGACAATGGCGGATGACACACAGAATTACTGGATTTTTTGGACTTTTTCCATCGTCCGATATTCTAGAAACTAGAAAACATAACGTTTCGAAAACTGGATCTGTTTCCGTCCTCAGGTGAGGGGCAGAAGACACCTACTCAGTTGGGCCCCTCAGAAAGAGCTAGTCTCAATCATTGGTCCAGTGATCAAGATTAGCTCTTTCTAAAGGGCTCAACTGAGTAGGTGTCTTCCTTTCTCACCTGAAGACAGAAACAGACCTGGTTTCCGAAACGTCGTGTCCTCTATTACCTAGAATCCGAACGATGGAAAAGTACAAAAACCAAGTACTGAAGGGTTACAGTAATCCAGTTCATGCTCGTCTCGAGTGGCAAATGTGTTCACACATGAACAAAGCAAGGCTGATGCCTTGGCCAACAAGAAGAATATAAAAGGCAATTCGCAGATGATTTAGAGTAAAAACAAAATATCCACCAAATATATCAGCCGAATAAGAGGCGTCTCTGTTTGTAATTGTACAGTCTCTATCCATTTTCGAGGCCATTCCAGATTCGGTGGAAATTGTGACCAATCTGTTGATCAATTCAAGAAGAAAGCTTCCTTTCTGGA